ACGCGTCAAACTTCATCCTCTACTACCATTAACCCTGGCGCGTTATTGTGGTCTAGCCAGTATTGGCCGATGGCAATGCATCAGTGTAGAGTAGCCCAGAACTAGGGCACAGTGGATTTCAACTTTCAGTGGAAAAACTATACATGTGACAATCAAGAGTAACCAAATAAAACAGTTAAAGACTTATAAATTAGGTCTTGGTTCTAGATCTCATTTTTATAACCATGGACTGTTCTAGTTAACAGCCAAGTACTTTGGCCTAACTGTTCTTGGAATCACCTCAAGGCAGTACAATGAATCACGGAAAGCGATGAAACCACTGAACTCATTTTGACTTACTGAATCATCGGAATTATAGATGATACAATATGGGGTGGAGAGCCTGCGCTTGCTCATGATACTGAATTTTTCCTCTATCGGATTTTTACAGGGGGAAATTTTTCCGTCGAGCTCATTCGATACAATGAAGGTCGTGCTTCTATGGTCGTGGATCGTCGCTCTGGTGAGCTTTTTCATGATACCACTGTGTCCATTCATAATGCAAATGAAATACTTTCAGATGTGTTCTCTCATCGGACTTACGAACGCGTGCATATTTACACCGCCGGAGTGTAGGAGAAGGGGCTTCTGGAGAGAAGAAAAAGCTATTCTTTCGAGTATGAGCTTACGCCGTAATCCCTGTTGTGGAAGGTACGGAGAGCAAGAAGAGGAACTGGTGTGCTTTCTCTCAACCACTGAAGAATAAACATGACTTTGCTGTAGTCTCTGCGTACACATGGTTACTTGAGGAGCCGGCTCGCGATGCAAAGTTTGATAGTGGTGCTGTATTATGGAAGAGAAGTTGAAAAGAGACTCGTCAGTGAGGGGAAAATGCGAATGGGAACATTGAAACGCTCTTATGGACCCTTCCAGCTCTAAGCATTTGTAGTAGTGAGACCACGTGCTGGGAGGAGTTCATTCAGTCTGCTGGCTTTCATAAGGAATTTCTTGTACGACCTCACAAATGAGAACTTTGATTTTATGCTTCTTGAAGCGGCGGCATCATTTTCAGCTGAAATTCGCGGTCTGGACGCGGAGTCGCTTGGGAACAGGAGGTGCCACTAGAGTTTGCGGCTCAGCGCCTTTACCTTAAAACTTTCCGTCGCGTTAATAACACAAGGTTGTCCGCTGTGGATCATCCACCTTCCACAAGCAGTCTTTCACGGCATAAAAGCCGTTAAGCTGAAAGGATAAAAGCGGCTCTGGTGGCGTAACGGATAGTGCACTCGCCTGGAAAGCGTGAGGTGCGAGTTCGACTCCCGCCTGGAGTGCGACTTTTGCCCATAACTCAGCATTCTTGCGGTAGCAGTATTTTACATTTTCATCGTTCACTGTGGACTGTTTCTTCGAAATTTCTATAACGCTCCACATGTTCTTTTAATGTGAATTGAACGAGACTCACGAAAAAAACAGTGGAACACTCCTACCATTTTGATAGTTGATTGTGTTAAGTTGAATTAAGTTAGTTTTTCGGTAGTCGTCGTTCTGGAGGGATGATCAGGTCGACGTGAATATCAAGGATCAAAAGTGTCGATTGCATACAAAAACGTCTCCAACGACGGTCTGCTTAAACTCCGTGGTCTCTGGTCCTTGCCATATGCGAATTGAGTGGATCCGCACCTTCAGTAGCAAGTCACCCTCTGCGCTCCAACGGATGGGAACGGGGATGGAGGATCGCGATACCCCGGTCGTCTCCCGGCTTTGCCTGCGCAGCTACACGACCGACCACATGCCTTGGGCAGCGTTCAGACTCAGCGCAACGTGTACTGTACTGTACAGTGTAGCAAAGGGTTACGTGAGAAATAGAACTTCCAGTGCGAAAGGTGGTTGAGTTTTAGATGTCTGTAGACCGGAGCAAAGCGCGTTGAAGCGCAGTTACAACAGTGCGCATGTCTGTTGAACCTTCGCGGACGGGAATCGATCACTACCGGCTGTCTGCGGCTGCCTTCGCGCTTGCTGAACTCTGAACGCTGCCTTACCGTAGCTGGACGCTCTATATGTCTACGTTTCTCACTTCTGATGTTCTGTACGGCTGAGTGCCTTTTCCTGCCAGATTTCAGGTGCCCACGCAGGAGCCAGCTACCTTTGACGCTGATCTGGCACACCTATAATATTTTATCTGATCGATAAGTTTTCTAGATAATTTCATCACGAATAATAATCTCATCACAGATATAACAATCATTTCTGGCGCTGGAGCCATTTGGCGCCAACAGGCACCAACATTTTCTCGCCATATTTGATGCAAACTTGGATACAAGCCTTAACTGACATCCTGATCACGAATATGGCATTTATTTTCGACGCTGGAAATCGATGAAGATTTCCTATTCGTGGGAAATCTGACGATCTTCATTGATTTCCTATTTTCGAAATTTCCAAAATCTCCCTATTCCCCATTTTCTCTTCCCAAACCGATAAAAACTTGCGTTGGGGTTTTGCAGATACTTAGCCGGTCAAATTCACAGTGTATATGCCTCCAAACGCTCCACAGTCACTATGCGGGGGGTCATGCCAGCCCCCAATTTTCTGCGAGTTGATGCCGGCGATCCACCCTGGCGCAGACCCCCTCCCTCCCGCTAAGGGGTCGGCGCTTGGAAGAGTTCATCATGAGGACAAGCCCAATCAGTAGGATTCTAGATGCGACCAGTTCCCGGCAAGAGCGTAGAAAATCGCCCTAAGACGCTCCAAGCAACGCTCCGTAGAAACGCAATACCGGCCGAAGCCGTCGACTCAGATTTGCGTACGCGTCTGCATCCTGCAGTGATTAGCATACAACTCGCCGCGTCCCTCGAGCTTCGCTTCATCTCCGCACCACATTTTCGAGTGACTCAAGCAATATTCCTTGCGAATGTGGACCAAACTGAGAAAAATGCACTAGGCTTCCGCTAATGATGGATTGGCTCCTGGACTGGTCGGCTTCTAAGGGAGTCTCTTCGACATCTGTCCCATTTTACTCTAAATATAGTAATAACCGCTTTTACCTGACAGATGCCAAAACTTTCAAGGATATTAATTTCCATCTGAAAACGATGGAATCTACAATTCCAATCGTCAGGTTTCCCACGACTTGGCGTTCGGCTCCTAATTGTGCGCCAGCCTATCGAAAGGGCTCTAGGCTAATTCGCCTTGAAGAAAAGTCGAGGGACAGAATGCATGGTGTGATAGGGGCAGAATTCGGAAAACGCCGTTCTGAAATTTTGATGGTTCGAGGGGGAGAAGCGGGCATATTAGTCGAACGGCATGGATAAGCAGGAGAACAATCACCAAGCAGCTCCCTGCCAGACCGAAGCTCCTACACGCAGCGAAAAGGACGTGAGTAATATGAGCGGGGAGCCGCTCAGAGGCCGAGAGAGAGTGCGGAATGAGACCGCCCCGCCTGCGGGTCTTGGTGTGCCAAATACTTACTTCTCTCTTTTTTTTTCTATTGTTTTGCTTCCTCATATCTTATATTTCTATGTTTTCTTTTTTTATTCTTTTTTACTTTCTATATTTTCTATTTCTCTTTTCTGTATATTTTTTAGCGTCGTTGTTCGGCGACGTAGGCGCAATGTTACAGAACATGGGCGAGCAGGATGGACATCCGATGCAGGTGACCGCTTGCACAAGTAGAGCGCGAAAGTAGCCCGAGAACAGCGATGGGCGATTTTTTTCCGGGACAGAATTGTACCCGCAATTTTCGAGATCAAGGCGTCCTTCAACATCCACTTGAACTAAGCCTATTCAGTCAGTAGAAGTCCGTCATTGCGCTTTCCACGAACATTCTTTATGTATTTGTTACGGAGCAGAAGAACGCAGGTCGAGTTTTCTCAAATAATTTCATACATGGCCCCTCCAATCAAGCAGCATAGTCAAAGGAGTGAATAGCGCGGAATAAGGACCGCAATTCTCTGAATATTTTGAGCATTCTTCAGTAAGAAGCAAGCAATAATTATGTCAAAACCTTCTATTTTTCGCTGAGCTCAGTCTGTTAGGGTAATCCAATGCCCTGGCCTCCAAAAATGACTTTCATTTTGGCTGCTACTTTGGCGCCAGCACAATTTTTTTACCAAATCGACATGAACCTGCACAGACGCCTTATTTGTTGCCCTGCTTACCGATGCGACATTCGTTCTCGCCCTCGGACGGAGGTTATTTGGCATCCAGATTTGGAACATAACATTCATTTTTGGCATCGGTGCCATTTGGCTCACGCGCCAATTTTGAGCCGCCATCTTCTTCACTAGAAACGGTACGAAATTGCAGGCTGGCTTTATTTGACATCACGTTCAGAGGTGTATCGTTTGTTTTCGTCGTCGGCGCAATTTGACGCCAGTATGGCGCCGGGTCTGCTTGGCGTCACGTTTCCCAGCAAACTAGCTACTATTTTGTATAGATCAGTTGGGATCCCGTTCAGGAAACAACAATAATTTTCTGGTATTGGCGCTACGTACACCATTCTAGGGCTGCCCAGCTGGTTGGAGTGATTTCCCTCACCGATCTCACAATAACGATTGTTCAGTAGGGCGCAAGTGGCTCACAAAAGAATTTAGGCGTGAGGTTGAGTGCATTGCCATAGTCGGCTACGGACTCGCACCATATTCGACGCGCTTTACCTGAAAAAAGCGGTCGTAGGCGATTTTGCCGGCATATACCTTGCGGGGGTGTTACAAAAGCGTGAACTATTCAGGATATAATGCACTGTAGGAAGTTGAACTCAAACTAATTGAGAAAAAGCGGATCTTTTTCCGTCAACAAACTGAAATTCCCATCAACTTGAGAGGAAGGAGGGCAGTTTTCGTTCTGCTCAGAAACTAAGGTTTCCATGATTTTTTTCCTGTGCTATAGTCTAATCTTATTTCACTCACAGCCAGGGCACAGCATTAGTTGGAGATTTTGTCGAGCCCGTACGACCCCCCCCACCCATTGCCGAATAGGCGATAGGAAGGCTAAATTTTCAGACAATGCATTACAACAATCTGTTACGACCAGCAACAACTGTCACAGGAATTAAGGAAATATAGACGCACCTCAAGCCCAGAAGCCTCAGCTACTGCGGTATCAGGCTGGATTCCTATGCAGACAATGATGTAATCGGATGAGATAGGCTTCGATCCGTTCACCTAAAGATCCCGTTGTAGAAATAGCCGTGGTAAACTAGCTTCTGTCCATGGCAAATGAATTCCAAATCAAGGAGAACCCTACCTGCACTTCCAGCTGCTCGCCTTGCTTTCGTGCAGCGGTAATCTGCAACAAATGATCTCAGGAGTGGGGCCCGTATTCTCTTTTTGAACTAACTAGACTCTGGGCTTTAGCTTTAAAGGCGGAATATCCTATAGAATAGGATAGAAAGAAGCAGGACACATCAAGCAGAATAGATAGGAACCGGACACATCAAACAATCTCGGTATTCAAAAGTCGGAGGTGGTATAGTGATAAGTGAACGAAAACAATAAACAGCTCTAAGTATTGACAAACTTCGTCATTAGTTATGACGTCAACTCCAAATCCACGAAGTGATTCCGTAGCCTTTTTCGACAAGAATTCCGGAAAGACTCGGCACTGAACCTTTGTGATGGTTCAATATATTCTATTCGTTTATGCTTACTCCGGAAAGCAAAATTTTTTGAGAGCAAACTGTGTAAATTTCTCATTTTTGATGCTTCCTGTGAATGCTGTAAGTCCCAACTCTGAACACATAAAACCGCCGCCGACGATTTGACAGTCGACTTTAATTCCATAAGGGAACTTTGGAAAGAACGAACCCCTGGCAAATAAAGGACTCTTTTCTTCACCTCCCCACTAGCATTTTCCACTTCGGCTAAGGTCTTCGGTTTTCCCCCTTAAAAATTAAGCTAAGTGATAACTTTCTCAGATATGAAGAACAAACGCAGCCAACTAGAATGCCGTCCAAGCTAGTCAGATGACAAATTTGAAAAAAGTTTCATTGAAGTTACCTGTGGCATTCTTCGAAAATAGGGAAAAACTGCTTGGTCCCACGCGGTAGACTCACGAAAAGGCGCCTCGTCGCCAATGTGTTAAAGTATCAATGATTTCTCCAATCCAATGTAGCACAAATGAATCACACACAATCACAAATGAAATGAAGAAGGCAAACTTCATATTGAAAAAATGAAGTGAGAATGTGCCGAAATGCAAACCAGCTGTTTAAAGGAGGAACGGATTCTGGGCAGGACCCACATCCGCAAGGTGGTTGCAGGTGGTTTGATTGGAGCGCGGATTTTCAGGAAAGTAGGGTGTCTTTAAAGGGCCATAACTTCCTTAATAGCGGACCTGTGGGAAAGAAAAGAACGCAGTCGTATAGAGAAAGATTTGAGCTTTCCAAAACATACTGACATGTTCATAAAGGTCGCCAAATTCATAGAGAAAATTTGCGTTGGGGAGTTTTTTTTGGATAGTTTGCAGCGCGAGTTTTACAGGTTTGAACCAAGATATTTCCCTTGAACCTCAATAGTTTGGGAATCTGAAACTACTGTCGAGTTCTAGAAGATTTGCTCTTTCCAAAAACTACTTGAACGTTTTTTGAAGCTCCCGGGAGTCATGAGATAATTGCGTTGGGGATTATTTGGGGAACACTCCGAACTGTTCGAAAGTCCGTTTTCTGTGTACGGTTTCAAGGAGCGTGTTCGAATAGCCAGAAATACATGTAGAACGTATCCTGTGGTGGAGCAGGAGCAGGATGTGGTTTGTTTAGCGCCAATCATGCTAACTTTGGATGCGCCGCGCATTGAGGTCCGCGCAGAGGTGATGGGATGGTGATATGTTTGAGCGTAATGTCTGTCCACGCGAGCAAATGTGTTGGATTAGGGAGGTCATGGGAACTGTGCCACCTTCTTTTACAGTGTTTGTATGCGTATGAATGATGGACAGACTCGGGCTCCGCCTACATCGCTGATTTCCGATAAAGAGACCAAGTGCTGGAAAACGTCTGGTACGAACGATATGATAGTCCTGTCGTTTGTCAGAAAAAAAACAGGTTGGCTCAGCGCCAAGCGCGATCGCGGACACGCCCCCCATCACCCGGCAGCAGACTCAAGAGTATGAGTTAGTACTGTCTTAGTCACTTACGAGATGATGTCGACTTATTAATATTTGCAGTTATTTCGGATTAGTTTGATGAATGAAAGTTTTGTACTATTTTTTTGCATATCCGAGTTCTCTACAAAGCAAGTTTCGCTGTACAGGACCCAGCCAGCACATCTGGATACCTTTGCGCTGGTCGTTACTGGCTGCCGCACTCACTACGACCCCCCCCCTCTCCTGGCGGCCAAATACGACCCCCCTGTTGGGGATTCCCCAACCAACGATGTGCCCTTATCCCAGGCCCGTTACGCACTGTAAGCCATAAGTTCACATACGCGAATTTGAAAAGCTACGCAGCCACTTTATCACAAAGTTCGTGCAAATTTGCATAGTAGGATAACTTGATGCCTTGATCACGAATACCGAATTAGTTTTCAGCCCTGAGGTCATCTGGCGCCATTAGGCACTGATTTGGCGCCACACCCTTTTTCATCAAAATTGATGAACCTGCATAATGGGGCTGTTTGATGCCCTGATCAC